GGCTTAAGGGGTTTAGGGTGCAGGGTTACATAGGCATTTGTTGGCGTTTAAGGGTTTAGGGTTTAGGGCGTGAGGTTTAGGGTTTAGGTGTTTAGGGGTTTAGGGTTTAGGTGTTTAGGGGTTCAGGGTTTAGGGTTTAGGGGTTTAAGGTTTAGGGTTTAGGGCGAGGTCTTTTCTTCCCTGAACATCCGTCCATCGCAGAATAGCACCAAGCACTACTATCAATGCTTTAAATTGAGCGCGCGGCAGGGATCATGGTTATTGCGGCATTCCGGCGGCTGAAGTCAATATCTCAACGCCATAGTGCCACGTTTCGCCAATGTGCTGCTTCAGAATTCTTTGCTCTACGAGGGTGTTCATTGTATTGTGGCAGCTGTGGAAAGTTCTGTCCGCGTAGCCGTAGGATAGAGGTCCTATCTAAAGCACGTCGGTCACAAGAACCTCAGAACAATGCCATGTGCACGTTGAAGAACCGCAAAGCTTTCAGGGTCTCCGGCTCCTCATGGGTGCCAGACTCTGTGATCCGCCCCTGCTCCACGACGAGGATTTTGTCTGCCTCTCGGGAAGCTACCCTGGAAAGTTTACGCCTTATGCGAAGGTTAGACGATCTCGTTTCCCGATATCCCCCTTCAAAGGCGCATGGTTCCGTTGCTATAGTCATTCACCATTTTACCAGAACAAGAACTACAAGGGGACCGAGCCGACACGACAAAATGCTGGCGGCTGGTTCGTGACCACAGGTGCTTCAAGCCTGCAAGCTCAGCTAGTCATCGAGGTGCCCCAAATGCTGAGCTTTCTGAGTTCGGGCTCCGCAGTTTCGGGTATTCCGACGTCTAGGGTTTAGGGGTTTAAGCTTTAGGGACACAACAAAGATTACCGTCCCCAAACAAATGGGAACATCTAATTCTAGACGCGCTGCCTGCTTTGCCATCTTCAGCTGATGGGTGATGGCCTTGGCAAGGCAGGGTTCGGGAATGGTCCTAATATAGGGTCCTTAATAAGTACCTATACTATTTTGGGGGTTCCTTATGATAATTAAAGCATATTGGGCCCCAGAACCCTATTCGAATTATTATCAAGGCCCCTATATTTGGCATGGAGATGCCGCAGATGCAAAGTACGAAACTTCCCACACAAAACGCCACACTCCACACAACCGAAGCCTTTTCACAAAGGCTCCTTCGTCTGGTTTGGAGTGAGGCCCGAAAAAGGCCCGGAGCGAAGTGGCCCTAGAAGCCCAAACGACCCCCCCTCAAAACCTCACCGGTTGAAGACCTAAAAAGCTCCAAAACCCTATTTAGGGATTCGGGGCTCCCTGTAGCCGGAGCAACACAAACCCTTCAGACCCGGGCCCACCCTGGAATCCAAGCTCCCGGTACGTATTCTCAGAAACCTTTAGGGTTTAGGGTTGACTCTTTTGGCCTATAGAGGCTAAACCCAACGAAGAAAGGGTCTGCGGAACAGTCGCAAGGATGGCCGGTGGGCTGCCCCCTTCACGTGATCGGAGTTCAGCTAAACTCTCCTGCTTGCCGGCGAGGGCTTGATGACAGGGTTCTGTCTTTCACGTTTTAAGGTTTTGGGTTCGGGGTTCGAGAAGCTTTGCTTGGAAGGGTACCCAGGCTGGGCTTTCGATGAGAGGAAGGCTTCCCCCCCAAAACCTAAACTCGAACGCTGAATCTGCAACACGAACTCTGACTGACGAAACCCGCAATAAACAACCGTCATTACGGTCAAGGGCGGCAGACAGAGTCACGAGCTTCGAAGGGCCTGGGGCCTAGAGGTGTCATCCTCACAGGGCCACGCTCATATGCCAACCTGGCACTGGGTCGAATGGCTCGCCTTCGCAAGGTTCAAGTTTCAAGACTATCTGACCGAGATCCTCCCAGCCATCACCCTGAACCCTAAGCCCTGTCCTTGATGGCAGGCAAACCCTATACCCCAAACCCAAAGCCTCAAACCGTAAAGCCCCAGACCCTAACTTTAAACCCCGATGCCCCAAACCCTCGACCCTAAGCCCCGATGCCCCTAAAACCCTCGGGGCAAACCCCGGCTCCAGGAGGAGCTGACCCGTCTCAGCATCCAGGGCACTTGTGGCCTGATTCAGAAGTTAGGGGTCAGGGTTTAGGGTTTATAAGCGTTTGGGGTTTATAAGGGTTTAAGGTTTAGGATTTAGGGTTTAGGGTTTTTAAGTGTTTGGGGTTTAGAATTTGGGGGTTTAGGGTGTGGGGCTTCGTGTCAAACAATCTTCTGAAAGACTTCGAAACCTATCAACTAAGGCTTATAACTTAATTCCAAGGAAAGGAATTTAAGCTGGATCCAGAAATACAATTTGGTTGGCATCTTTGGCTTGCTGTTGTTTCGTTTTACTCGCAGGCTTTGCTGGGGTCTTGAAGGTGGAAGGTTGCCGGACTCAACTCCTCGCTGAGGGCTTCGCAGGTGCAATCTCCAGTTCTAAACAGGGCAATGCTCGGGCCGCTCCTACCGGATCCTCAAGGCGTCGTTCTCGGTGCCGTCAGCCATGGCTCGTCCAAAAAAGCAGGCAGCAGAAGCTGGACCGAATCTCAGAGCCTGAACAATGGGACTAGGGTCTCAAGGCCTATATTGCGCTATGAACATATGTTTCAGATGGTCGAGTCGGGAACCAACTGTTCAACTTCTATGCGGCACCGCTAAACCCTAAACTCTAAGCGCGCCTCGTCCAGAAGCAGCAGTTCCGTCTGTGGCGCCCTGCTAGGACGGGACTCGCATTCGAAAGAGTGGCCGAACTTCTGCGCACGCGAACGCTTCGTTTGCCAGAGCCCTGGTGCTTCTGAGCTTATAGTCGTATGGAAGCTTCATAGGCTAGACGGGGAGAGGCCGAAGCTGAGGCATAAGTATAAGCATGCAGCAACATGCAAGTCGCTTCAGACTGCCTTCGGATTTCGACTCACTCGACTCTGAATACCAAGCATAAAGTAGTGAACATGGTTCGATCGTTCCTGTCCAGTTGGGATGCACATACCTCCTCTCATTACTGCTTTCGTCTTTCAACTCTCGAAAAGATACTGCTGAGAGTTGGAAGAAGCTACTCGTCGCTTTCAGTTGGCAGTCCCCCGCCGGATGTCTTGTCGAGAGCAAATGAACCAATACGAACTTGTTTTGACTCCTCCAGTTCACCCACCGACTTCTCCTGGATGTCTGGTCAGCGTAAGAGTAAGAGGCAGTACAACGAGTTGCACATTTCCCGAATCGCGGTAAGAAACTTGAGGGAATCTGTCAGACAGAAGCATAGATTTGGAATCGCAAGTCCCACGCTCATCTGTGAAGTGACGTACGGAGCCGATCCAACGAACAGCAACATAGCTACTGTGGCTCAGCAAGGGAAACCCCAAGCGCGAGCTTGTACCGGCCGGAAACCCAAAGCCATCTCAAGGCTAAAACTTCGACTCCTACCTCATCGCACTATTGATCACGAAATTAATAATGACTGGGTCTCACTGAGTTAATGATGAGTGTAAATTTGCGACTGCATTCTACTATTCAGTTTCAATGAAGCCAAAAAAGAGAAAGGCGTCTGAATGTAGAAACCTGAGCAAGGACCCGATCGGCTGCCCACAATACTTTGCTCCACACTCAAAAGCCAGAAGAACCAGGCGAGTCTCTACAGTAGTATTGGGCCAGGTGTAATCACGTAGAATAAGTCCCAAAGGCTGATAAGCCTTGTTAAACAAAATTACATTACTTTGAGTACCCCGAAACTATAGTACGTGTTTGGTGATTCTCTAGTTCTGGTCCCTGATTGATGTTGCGAGACGCCCTGATAGATGGAAGGCAATCCTACGATACCGGGTCTTGAGTGTGGGGGCTTCGCAATCTCGAAACTAAAACTCTTAAACCCGAGCTGACCTTACTGCCTACAGCCCGTAGCCCAAGAAGGTCGCACAAAAAGATTGCAGCCCCGCCCGACAAGCCAAGTGTCCATAAGCTAAACATACCACCTTCAAAAACGCTAATGGAGGGTCTAAGTCTAGGTACAATTTTTTAGAATGCAACCCCAAGCTCTTCAACACGAAGCCCCGCATCTAGCTGCACGGATGCCCTGAGCTCGGGATCACCATGAATGTCATCACCGTAGTTGACCATCACCACCATCCCGGACTGAAGCGCAGCAATTCAATAGTTGCAGCAACAGCTTCGCCGGAGTCGCTGGGGCCTAAACTCTACAACCCTAGCACCCCAGGCCCCACATGGGCGACGAAACTACATTTCCGAAGGTGTACAACCCTAAGCTTTAGTTCAGTCCGTATCTCCATGTCCCTGTAGGCCCCCGCACTACCACCAATACCTTACAACCTTTGAAAACCCAAAAACCCTCAGCGCTGCAGCCTCGAGAACCTGCACCCTCGGACCTGAACCCTGAGGCTCAAAATACCCAAAGGCCTTCTACGCAGATTCTGCTTGAAAGTTGCTGATCACTCTCAGAAACTAGAGTACCATCACTACAACGTCGCTGCAATGTTACCCATGCATTACTATGTTCCTAGGATAGCCTCTGCCTTCTCATGCTTCAACCTTTCTGGGCCGTGCTGTAATCCCCGGACGCCCTAATGTAGGGGAAAGGAACCCTATAAGGAATATTATAGGAAATTACCTAGGCCTCTACATAGGGTTTTGGGGCCCATTATACTATAATCATAATAAGGAACCCACAAGGAATAATATAGGACCCTTTTTAAGCCTCTACATTAAAAAACCCAAGCCTCAGCAGAGCCCTGGCAAAGGAGAGCCGCTGACGCTCGCCCCCGGAGAGGCGGAGTCCTCGCTCTCCGACCACCTGTTTAGGGTTTAGGGTTTAGGGTTTATAGGGTTTAGGGTTTAGGGTTTAGGGTTTAGGCTTTTCCGCCGCTGTTTACCTACAGTAAACCTTAGAAGCCCTAAGCCTTAAACCCTAAACCCTATTATAAACCCTAAACCCCTAAACTATATAAGCCCTAAACCCTAAGCCGTAAAACCCTAAACCCTCTAAACCCAAAGTCCTACGCCCTAAACCCTAAACCCCTGGCGGGGTTGCAGGCTCAGGATGTTGGGGCTAAGGCTTCCGTACTTGAAAGAAGTGGTTCGCGATTCGGTGTCGGCAAGGCGGAAAGGATTCGGGTGGCGGAAAGGCGAATTCTCAGTGAGAGTTTTGGGGTTCAGGGTTTAGGGTAAAATATCTTGAGACACCTGCCGGCACCTATCATTTTCACGAAAATCCCCAAACCCAACCCTAGCCTAAACCCTAAACCCTAAACCCTGGATGCCCATAAGAAACCACACGGCAGGCCCAAGTCAAGCGACGGACTGCAGCGAAAGGCCGCCCTCCTGCAGCGAAAGGCGTGAAGCTGATGTCAAAAGTTGAGGGGTGATACGTATCTAACGGGGTTAGGAGGGACCCTTAATAGGGACCCTTGTAGGTTATTGGGGTTAATATGGAGACTACCTGGCTTTATAAGGGGTATAAAAGGACTATGCAATGGTTATTTAAGGTAATGGGATTAAGGGTCCCTATTAGGGGTCCCTCCTAAAGCCCTTAGATGATAGGGCCACACACACGCAGCTAAGCGTGTCTGCAGGTTTTGCGGTCTGGAGGCTTTCACATTAGATTCTTGGCACTTCAAGGACAGGACTTTACTTTGGGAAGGGGGGGTGGGGGGGGTGGGGGGGTGGGGGGAGCGCTGAAATCGTTCTGGTGCCGCCAACTTTGTCTGCAAAATGGGCTCTGAACCCACGCCTGCCAGTAAAAGCCAAGACAGTGCTATAATGGGAAGCCAGGATGTTTATGGAAGGGGTAAAAGTCAGCTCTGAACCCGTGCCTGCCAGCATAAGTGCAGACAGCTACAAGCAGGGGGTTTGGGAAGCCAGGATTATGCGGAAGGGAAAATGGGCTCTGAACCCGACTGCCAGCAAAAGTCAAGACTGTTTTGTTGTTTGATCTCTGTACACCCAGATACCCTTGCTGTAAACCCTACACTAACTTGTTTGAAGCCCCGAAGCCTACCTTTCAATATACGCCATGTCCTCCCCAGAGAGGAGCGCGGATGCCAGACCGCTCTTGCGAACTGCAGCCTCGACTTCCTGCCGAAAGCGAGCCTTTCTTGGGGTCACGGGTTTTTCTTAGGGTTTAGGTTTTAGGCTCGAGGCTTTGGGATATCGAATGCTGAAATCTCTTGCTGGTGTTTATGCCGCTTTCTGAAAACTATCTAAGTACTGCCACTAAGATGAGGATGATGCTGGCGATGGTTCTGTACATATGTTGTCCGTCTACTCTGTCTTTGTGGTTGGGATTCTGCCGGAGTTTTAGGTATTAAAACACGTAGTTTAAGTCGACAGCAAAAGGGACATACATAAGTATGATGCGTAATAATATGGTTTCATGATTACTCTTCTCTTGGATTTCTAATCTCATGTCAAGTGTGGGATCGGGGGTTTGCTCTTGGAGGTGTCGGTTCCACGCTTGGGGAGGGTTCGAAATTGAAATCACGTGCCTTGTTGGTCTAAAGAATCTGAGCCGATGTCTATACCCATATCAATATTACTGGCAAGCCTACCTGAAGGGTCCTAGGTACTGTTATGGGGGATACGAGTACCTTTGGCAAACTCATAACACTGACTCCTAACATAGAACCCCTACATTACTACTACACAATATAATTACTATAGGATCCTCTATATTATATAATTACTATAGGATCCTCTACATTATACAATTACTATAGGATCCTCTACATTGTATAATTACTATAGGATCCTCTACATTTCATAATTACTGTGGGATCCTTTGGGGAGGAGGTCCCTGGGTCTCAACGACTGAATTGCAGTAGCAGGTGGGGCACGAAAGGCGACGTACATAACCCTAACCCCCCAGGTACCTACTATATAGGGCCTTGGGGGCTTTAGTACCCTATATAGTAGGTACCTGGGGGTTAGGGTAACCCAAGAGCCACCAAGGAAGAACTCGCCACGTGCTAAGGAATATCAGGCTTTGCTGCAGGACTACCACTACAGACATCCTGCAAACATATCCTCAACAACTTGCTAGCCCTAAGGATTCACGGAACCGGTGTCGTCGAGAAATTCCAACTGGGAGCCCTCACGGCGTGTTTTTCCTCTCGATCAATCGTCAAGCTGTCCCAGAATGATGGGCCTCCCAAGACCCTATAAAACCCTAAACCCTGAAAAGCTTTCCTGTGCTGACTTTTTTGTGGAGGGTTCACAAGCTTCTGCTTTAAGCAGCGGCCTCGTGACTTGGTGACCTGGAAGTTCAAGCGGCCCTGGCAGCCGCTGAGACACAACAGCAAACTAACCCTAACCCCCCAGGTACCTACTATATAGGGTACTATACTAAAGCCCCTAGGGCCCTATATAGTAGGCACCTGGGGGGTTAGGGTGTACATTCCGCACATTGAAAATCATGACGGTTCCCACCTGGAGTTTAGTCAAAACCTAAGCTTCGAAGGGGTGGGCACAAGCTCTGCCAGCATGGAAGCATTTCTGACACGGATATCCCGCAAGTCCTCGTCGGCGCCAGCTTTCAGCAGCAACTGTGTGACCTCTTCTTTGCCCGAAAGAGCTGCATGCAGGAGAGCTGTCATGCGCCTGGAATCCTGTGCGTTGAGATTGGCGCGAGCTTGTAGAAGCTCCTTTGCCGTCTCCGTGGCGCCGGAGGATGCCGCACACATGAGAGCTGTCCCCTGGCCGGGACCTCCCCGCACGACCCTGGTGCTCCCATGGTGAGCTGCGATCAGGAGAGCAGTCTCACTCGGGAATGGATAACTATGATGCGAGTTCGTGCTGGCACGGGCTTGCAGCAGCAACTCTATGATCTTCGTGTGGCCCATGTCCACTGCAAACATGAGAGCCGTCTTGCCAAAAGAATCCTGCAAGTCTTTCTCGGCCCCATGAGTAACCACTGCACGCTCCTCGTCTGGCCCTTTTGTGTTGCCAGCATCAGAGCTGTCCGTCTCCTCCAATTGTACAAGTCCTTCTCGGCCCCAAATTTCAAGAGCCACTGCACACTGCTTGCGTGGCCCTTTTGGGCTGCCAGCATGAGAGCTGTTTTCGAAAACTGGTCTGAGACGTTCTTGTCTGCGCCGGTTCGCAGCAGCAACTCTACGATCTCCGCATGCCCTTGCTAGCCGCCTCCATGAGAGCTGTCTTGAAGACGGCGGTGCTCTGCAAATCCTTGTCCGCTCTAGCTTGCAGCAGCAATTGAGTGATCTCTGCGTGGCCCTGGCGAGCTCCGAGCATGAGGGCTGTCCTTCCGTAACGATCTCGAAGGTCCGGTGTAGCCAAGGCCTGCAGCAGCAACTGCACCATCGCCTCACTGCCCTTGTCAACTGCATCAAGGAGGAATGTTCTGTTAGACGTACGTAGGTCCCTGTGGGCACCTGCTTTCAGCAGCCGCTGCGTAACCTTGAGCTGGCCCGAATGATAAGCATGACGACACTCCCGCTCAACTGCAGCCTTCTCTGCATCTGTGGACGGCGATGCCACGACAAGCTGGATGTGGAGTGCGGCATCTAGCAGATCCGGCCGGGCAGAAGCATCAGAATCGTCCCAATCCTGCAGCAATGAAACTGTCCTGATTGAATCGTCCAACCTCGTGTGCTCGTGCAGCAGTAGTTGCAGGCAAATGGGATAGTAATGCCTTCTCTTCAGGTATCTCTTCAAGTCGCTTACTGTAGCGATCTCCTCAATGTCAACTTGAAGCGGCTCCCCATCGAGTCGCAGGATGTGGAGCATTGCAACATCGTCCGAACACGAAGCAAGGGTAATTGATTCTGTTCCTGCAACACATGAGCTCGCTGACAGTTACGATTGCAGAGCCCTCGACCCTAAACCCCAAAGCAAAATTGGCATCACGGAATCGAGACCACGAACTGTGAAACGTCCCGAGCCATAGCCAGTTTAATCGGGTTTTGATTCGCACACCCGCGCAGGACAGGCGGGGATTCCTGGGCCTTCAATCGGGTTTAGGATTTAGAATTTAGAGCTTGGGTTTCCCGGTTTCAGGTTGATGATAATGGCCCCTGTTCAAGCCTGCGTGTTTTAAAGCTTGGGGCTTAGCTCTTGACGATGGAAGGACCAACATTGGTACAGAGTCGTGACACGATGAATCCCTCGCTGCATGTAGGCATGCACACACAGACACACTTGTGTGTATACATGTGTACGGTATGTGTATTTTACAATGCCTTGTTCACCAGCTCTCTCATTCTCTCTGCCCGAACTACGTGATCAAGTCGGCGTCTGCTCCATGTCAAAGCATGCAGGATCGAACTTGGGGCTTAGAAGTACAACACGTCCTGTTGTGTGATCTCAAATCAGTTCAGATCAAGAACATGTGCTGCTCATTGTGGCCGCGGTGAAGGCGGACACTAGCATCACAGATACAGGTAGGACTCACTGTGAATCAAGGCGAACCCCTGGATCCCCATCGCGCCGATAAGAATGGGGAGAGGTGTCTCCTCTTTCGATGCACCCGGGCGCGCGAAGGTGAGATTTCGGAGCAGGGTTGAGTTGAAGACCACCACATCCTTCGCAGCCAGGCTTGGATACAGTAAAGGATTTTATTTGCAGCCCCAAACCCCTTCAACATAGTGGGCTATGATACTACATACGCTTTCGGATGTATGGGTAAAGTTGAATATAGGAGCCTTAATAATTGGAATGCGGTTTTGGGGTATATCATACTATAACGATTATAAGGAACCCCAGAAAATAGTACCAATACTTATTTTGGCTCCGATATTAATGCTCATGGCTCGTAGCTTCGGTTGAAGCCCAGGGTTCAGCTATCGCCCCTTTTGGAGCTTTGAGGCCGGGGTCTGAGGTCGATGATCCGCAAATTTAGGTTTAGGGGTGTAGGGGTTGGGGGTTTAGGGGTTAGGGGTTAGGGGTTTAGGGGGAGGGTTGAGGATTTAGGGTTTAGGGGTTTAGGGGTTTAGGGGTTTGGGGTTTAGGGTTATATAAATGGGGTTAGGGCTTAAACTCCAGTTGTATAACGGCTCTTCTTGCGTTAGTGAAATAGACTTGGCAATGATGTCAGACCTCAAACTTCAAGCATGTCCCGAGTAATCCAGTAGGGCACTCTTGAAAATGAGATGCGCAGGGTTAAGGTCCAGTCTGATAAGGGTCCGAAAAACATTTCGGGCTTTAGGGTTTAGGGCTTAGGGGTTTAGGGTTTAGGGTTTAGGGTTGGTATACGCATCCATCAATTCATACACGAGTCCCTTGCTTTCGAACACTCTCATACTGATAACTGCAAGGACCTCATCGGGCCTCGGAGAGGACCGGCAGGGTTCGGGATTTAGGATTTAGGTGTCAGGGTTCAGGGTTTCGGGTTTAGGGTTTAGGGTTTAGGATTTAGGTGTCAGGGTTCAGGCACCTGTAGGTTTAGCAATGCTATGTATATAAACATACATACGTATTTATATGTATAACATATAACTGTATATACAGTCAAATATAGTCCTCTTCGGATTTGAGGCTTACAGTTTCGGGTTGACCGTTTACGTTCGTGGCGGCTCCAGCTCACTCCTCCTACCGGAATCTTCAAAAGCAAACATTCGAAAAGAAAGTCGAACATCAAGCGGACGAAAACCCTTTCTCTAGAAAGCCACACCGGAAAGCCTCACTCACATTGGCCCGACCACCACTCATGTGAAAGTATCAATCGTGAAGTTTACAAGTACAGAACATGAGCCCCTCCCGCACGAAATTTTTGAAATTCTGCAAGCTCCTACAGACCCGAACTCCCTGAACTACGAAAGCCACAAGGCATAGTCCTAAATCAAAGGGTCTTGTGTTCTTTGGGGTTCCTTGCCTGGGGAACCACGGCCAAACGGCTGCGCAGTTCTGAAAGCTGGAGGTGGCGGACGTCCACCCCGTTGAAGAGAACGCTGCCTTCCGGCTCTATCTATAAGGCTCGGATGGACAGGATTCTGAAGTGGCATGCAACGAAGCGTCTTATACAAGGATTCTACGCTGCAAGAATTCAACAACAATCCACTAATCCACTGTGAGGCTTCAAGAAAGGTCCAATATAGGGCTGGGAGTCGCTGTTGGAGGGCTTGTAGTTGTGAGCATGTGCAGTCTGGGGTGACGGTTGCTTGAGGAATTTTAGAAGTAGAGTAGAGCCAAGAGGCTTCGTAAAAGATCGAAAGAATCTAGGTTGCAGGCGTCCGCAAAACTCTAACGTTTTGGATGTCTGGGCTTCGCTTGGGGCGATGGCTACCTGGATGCTAGGTTACTAAGCATATATATATATATATATCTGTATTTTTGTATTTATATATTTTGTATGACAGTGACCTGCTAATTAGCCCAAAGGGTCCTAAGTACCTCAATAGTAAAATGTAGGGTCAAGAGCGCCGAAGTGTGAGCGGCTGGCCTTTGCATGTGTCCAAGAGCCGTGGCACAAGGCGGCCGAGAGAACTCTTCCCACTACCTCAAGCTTGTGGCTATTAGGGTTTAGGGTTTAGGGTTTAGGGTTTAGGATTTAGGGTTTAGGGTTTAGGGTTTTAGGGTTTAGGGTTGTCGAGGTCTCGGTTTATGTTCCAGCAGTTCTTTGGGCCCCTTTTACCATCGATGGCTTCGAACGGATGTTTGTACTTACAATCACGCGAAGCATATAACCTCTACACACACACTGCATATATGTATCTGCATGTGTATATACATCCGTACATTCATATATATATATATATACAAACTGGTACATATGCATATGTAGCTGTATATGTACATGTATGCACGTCAGTGTGTATCTATGTACGTATGTGAACATTATGAACTCCGTGTATATGTATATATATATATATATGTATATACAGCCTTCATATGACACAGATAATCCAACTCTAGAGTCTAATCAAATCCAAAGGAGCAGAGGTCAGGAAGGACAGCTTCGAACTTCTATCAACCAGGGTCATTAATTACATATCGGGAGACATGCACGAGCCTTAATACAGGGGCCTTGAACATTGGATTGGGTTTTGGGGTAATTATGTTATGCTGAAAAATACAAATGTTTGCTCAAACAGCCCTGAGGAATATCATCAGTAAGTACTTACCCCCGCCGCTAAGTTAAGCAACCGTCAGAGTTCAACTTCGCCACGTGACCTAAGCCCGCTCTAAACCTTAAGCCTCGAGTCCTCGAGGTCCTAAACCCTAAACCGTTTAAACCTGAAACCTTAGCCCTAAAGCGAGCAACGCAACATCTGAGCCCTTCGGAAATCCTTAACAGGGAAACCCGGCACACCCGAAACCCTAAACCCTAAACCCTAAACCCTAAACCCTAAACCCTGATAAACTGAAAGGCCGAAACACCTGAAGCCCTGAACTCCACACTTCGAGCCCTGCGATCCCAAAGCCGTAAGTCTTAAAACCCAAACCCCTCCCGAAACCGTATAATATTATATGGGGCTTGTATTTCGACTAGGGCTTTCAAGTTTCGATTTGGACTGTTTTGCATCCACAAGTCTTTAGGGACTCCCATGAAGCCTTAAACCCACCAATCCTCGAGCTTCCAGTCGGGTCGCCAGATGGCCCCACGATCGCCATGAACTGCCCCGGCTCAATGCAGAAGGACAGGCCCTTCGGGGACGGTGCGGGGTTCAGGGTTTAGGGGTTTAGGGTTTAGGGGTTTAGGGTTTAGGGTTTAGTGTTCAGGGTTCAGGGTTCAGGGTTCAGGGTTCAGGGTTTAGGGCTTAGGGGTTGAAGGCTCTCGTGCAGGCTTTACGCTATAAGGGGCTGAGTGAGATTAAACAGTGTCTTATACAGGCTCCTTTAGGGTGTGGCCAAGCTGTCACAGCCGATGTATGCCACACTGATACATTGGGCACGGTTTAGGGTTTAGGGTTTAAGGTTTAGGGTTAGCTCCACATACAAGATCGGCTCCGTGCGGCCCAGCTCGTTCAAGAGATGAATCTTGTACACCTGTTTCCTGCACTCCCTCCCGGAGCTTGTCTGTGACCTCGGGCAAAGCACTCCTCGGAAAGATCGATGGCACTCTTGCCTCCCTTGCCATCGCCAGATCCACTGCAACAGCATCGCCAGAGCTGGCACTACCCAGTGGAGTGTTTTATTAAGTGTTCGCTCTGTTAATGAAGGGACTGAACTTCCTTAGTTTCAAGAAAGATAATGAATAGCATGCTTCTTCTTGACCCAGTCAAACTGGAAGCAAGTCCCTTAACAATGGCCCAGTCGGTGGAAGCATGGATGCGTCCCACGTGCTACGGGGTGCGGGTTGGGGCGTAGAGTCGACAGTCAGGCTTTCATTTCCAACTGAATTTGGCAAGGCCAACCAGGACCCTAAAGTTGTCTGCCCACCGTTTCTCTAGTCTCTAAGGTGCATCACCGGCCATAAATCAGAAATCCAAACCTCTTTCCGACCTAAGCCCCGAATCCCAAACCCCTTAGCTATCCCACGCCCCTCTACTACCCCTCACCTCTGCACTATCCTAAACCCTAAACCCTAAACCCTTCCTCTAACGCTTGATGACGAAACCCCAAACATTCCAAACCGCTACGCCCCAAGTCCCGGAGCCAAGGTTCCACAGAGCAAGGGTTTAGGGTTTAGGGTTTAGGGGTTTAGGGTTTAGGGTTTAGGGTTTAGGGGTTTAGGGTTTAGGGGTTTAGGAGTGTAGGGTTTAGGGTTTAGGATTTGGGGGTTTAGGGTAGGTTTAGGGTTTATATTATAGGGGTTAGGGTTTAGGGTTTAGGGGCTTAGGGTTTATATTAGGGGTTAGGGTTTAGGGTTTAGGGGCCTGAAATACAATCTCAAGAGGACCAGGCTTGCTTTTTGTAAATGTGTCGAACAAAACCACTGCCACTGCCTTTCAACAAAACCTTCTAGAAGCCTAGTTACAAGGTAACTCCGTAGTTTCCAAAAAACCTATACAACCTTGTAAACCCTAAACCTCAACCCCAAAACCCGAAACCCTAAACCCTTTTGAACCCAGACTCTGCCAATCAGCTGGGAAGCAGCACTTCCAGATCATTGCATCTGCGAAGTAGCGCCGCCAAACTCAAACCTAAATCCCTGAACACGAGAGTCCTGCAAACCCTAAACCCTAAACCCTAAAACCCTGTTTTTGAGCAGGGACTGCCATGCACTAAGCCCTGAATCCCTTCAGCCTAAAACCCAAAAACCCTAAAACCGTGTACACCACAGTGCTGCTCTGCTCCCATCCTGCAAAATCCAGGGGAGATGGCTCTCGTAGCGGAACCACCTGACAGAAGGGAGCTAGTAGTGTTTAGGGTTTAGGGGTTTAGGGGCTTAGGTTTTAGGGTTGAGGGGTTTAGAGGTTTAGGGGTTTAGGGTTGAGGGGTTCGGGGTTTAGGGGTTTAGGGTTTTGGGGGTTCAGGGTTGCTGAACAAGACCTACCGGAAGTGTGGGAACTCCCTTTAGCCGAATACTTGTGACTTCTGGTGGTGTCGCTTCTATGCTTTTTGTTGAGGATCATGCAGAGCTTTGTCAATGTGGGGGTTTCCGAAAATAGGGGACCCTAATAGAGTACCCTAAATAGTAGGATCCTTATTATAAGGACCCCAAAATAAGGTACCCCTACTATTCGGAAACTCCCATGTTGCTGCAAACTGAGGGCGCCACACGTCGCGAAACTCCACCAAAGGGCAGCCTGGCGAATCTGTTTCCATTGGCTTCAGGCCTTGGGGCTTTAGACGAAAAATGTTCCTGCATTAAACTAGCCGCAGAATAGGCCTTGTGGTATTTCTGGTCCTTAGTCTGCATGTTGCAGGGTTTTGTCCGCGACTAGAAGTGGCAGTGCAACCTGCACTTGGTGTGGTTATGTTACTTACAGCTTCGATTCAGGCAGCCACCAGCCGCCACGACCCGCCACCACAATCAGAACCACTATCTATCCTCCTCCTCGTCATCCTCATCCTGGTCCAAGAATGACAAAACACCAGCATGTCAAGATTCGAAGATTCAGAAGACCCTAAACCCTAAACCCTGTTGATTCAAATTGAGGCTTAAGAAAACACAGTGTCACATCAAAACGTGGTCCCAATGGGGCGCCTGGGCCCCTGGAACACATCTTTAGGGTTTAGGGTTTAGGGTTTATAACTAGAGTTTCTCGAATTCCGCTCATAGCAACCCTGTCCTTCCAGGAAAGCCTCAAACCGCAACCCTCCTCACACCTCATTCTAAATCCGAACTCAGACTCCAGGAAGCAGAAGCCAGATCTTAAACTCAAACGCCCCTGAACCCTAAATTCACTGTAGGACTCCTTAATGAAAGTCTTGCAGAACCTTCCAAGCTTCGGTGTCCAGTATCCTAGGGGAACTAAGGGTTAACCTTTCGGGCAATACAGGACTTATAGCCCCTCCCAAAGATGGCTAAAGGTTACCTACTCTACTCTACTACTAACTAGGGTTTTTTCACTGAAACCCTCTAAACCCTAAACCCTAAACTCTCATTAAACCCTAAACCCTAAACCTTAAACCCTAAACCCTAAACTCTAAACCCTAAACCCTAAACCCTAAACCTCAAACCCTAAAGCCTAAACTCTAAACCCAAAGCCCTAAACTCTAAACCCTAAACCCTAAAGTAGGGAAGCCTGCAACTTTTCTTCCAGGAGCCTGGGGCAGCTTGTGGGAGGTTGGAGAGTGCCTCCGCCGAGAGCCCCGAACTGAGCTGCCTCGTCTTCTTCGGGTTTAGGGCTTTAGGGAGCTAGGATTAGGGGGACCCTTGGGGGTATAGACCCTCTCAATAAGGTCCCTTTTAAGAGAGCCAAAAGTAGGGTTCAGAATTAGGGGTTTTGTTTTTTTTATAAACTAAGGGTTTAGGGCTTTAAGGTTCTTTTTAATAAACTAAGGAGTGGTTCAGGGTTTAGGGGTTCAGGATTTAGGGCTTTAGGGGTTTTGCGTATATACACTAAGGGTTTAGGGCTTAGGGTTCTTTTTAATAAGCTCAAGGTTCAGGGTTTAGGGGTTCAGGGTTTAGGGGTTTAGAGTTAGAGGTGTAAGGGTTTAGGGTTTCGGCTCTCACGCTCGGACAATGCAGACGAGGCTTCTGGTCTGTAGTCGGCGGGTGATTCTTCGGGTTTAGGGGCTTAGGGCTTTTCTAAACTAACAACCGGTTTCCTGAGTAAGCTCAAGGTTACGCACTGTTTCCTTAGGATTTAAGGTGAAACGTGTTTTCTTAGGGTTTACAGTTTTTTGTTTTGAAGGGTTACGGGCTCAGGGTTTGACAAACATAGAGCTCAGGAGATGCCCCTGACAAAAGTAGCCAGATCAAAGAAGAAGCGGCTCTTTGTTTCGGAGGGTCAGGCTTTAAGGAATAGGAGTTTATGTAGTGAGAAGGCCAGGCGGGGGAGCCTGTTAGGGTTGTGCACCAAGTTGTTAAACGGTGATTCTAGCACTAAGCCATACTAGGCCCTACCAGTACCTAATCCCGTTGTTCATCATGGGCTTGGATTGTATGCCAGCGAACACCCTGAACCCTAAACCTCTACACCAAAATAAACACGTACGTTTCGGCTTTCTGGAGGGGCTCAGAGTTTCGGCACATGGTGCTAGAGTTGTGGCGGTTCAGGGCTTGCCAGGCACGGGTGATGTCAGGCTCTGAAAGTTCTGCTGCCTGAACTCTTGCGTCTTGAGCCTGGGGGATAGGGGGTAGATTGGTACACTACCTCCGGGGGTAGAATGCCTACAGCCTCATTCTTGCTGTACTCCTTGCCGACTCGCTGATTCTCCAAGCCCTCCCGAAGTGACAAAGTCTTCCAGAATCGCGAACCCACCAAAACTGCTACCATCTCATCCTGTCCAAAACAACAACGGCAAACATAACTCTATCCTAAACTTTCCTAAACCCAAAACAAACACACACACACACACACACACCCAAGACCAACCACTCCCCAAACCCTAAACTCCAAAAACCTTTTTGCAACTGGCTTGCAGCATCATGGCAGGACAGCTGTTGCTTTCCACGCTGCACCCATGAACAAAACACGAACCCCTCAACCCTAAACCCTGAACTGCATGGAGAAACCCGAAAGCCTCGACCCTAAACCCTGAACCTCATGAAAAGCCCGAAACCCTCAACCCTAAACCCCATGCTAAACCCTAAATCCCATGAAAAACCCCGAAACCCTCCGTCTCATCCCGCGGCCTCCTCTCCAACGCCTCGGCTGCCTCCAGCTCCGAAGTCGGCCGGTTGAGCAGCCTCGAAGCTGGGTTATGACGGTTTAGGGTTTAGGGTTTAGGGTTTAGGGCTGGGTTATGACTTTGAGAGCACGAAACCACTGGGAAACGCAATCGCTCATGGATTTAGGCTCAAAGAAGGGCCTTAGGACCAAAAATATTAGTTTAGGCTCGGAGGTAAAATTACTCTTAGCTTCACTCTTTGCGCTTCGTTTGATCTGCACTCTTTCCGTTCTGCTTGAGCACGAGTGCTCGTTGGTCAAAACCTGACTTCTCGAAAGCCGTCTTTTTCTGGAGCTGCCGTCCGGATCTTTCCGGTTTAGGCTTGCGCTTACCACAAGGGTTAGTCGAAACGGGCTCAAGGCCAAGACTGAGAGTTAGGGCTTACAGGTTCTGGGCTTTAGGGTTCAGGGTTTACGGAGCAGGCCTTGATCAGCATCGCCATCACGAAGCATCATACCATATCAGCATAATCATCAGCAGCAACGTCATCATCGGCAACATCTTCGGAACGAGTAACATCACCGTGACGCCAATCCTGAGCATTATCCTCCCCCCTCCCCAATCGCCCGACCGACCCCCTCCAAGCCCCCCTGACAAGAAGGACCATCAGCATGACCATGCAGCAAACGGCACCATCAACACATGCCCAACATGGTAAACACGTTTACAAGGAAACCCCTCAACCCTCAACCCCAAACCCTAAACACCTCAACCCTAAACCCCAAACCGTGTCTTCTTCAAGCGGCATCCTGGCATCCTCCAGGTCGACGAGGGCCTGCCGCGCCTGCCTCGGCGATCGTTGCAGGATCGAAGGAGGCTGGTTTCGGGTTTGGGGATATCTTACCTCAACCTACCAAACCCTACTCTTTTGTAGGGTCCCTATAAATTAGACCCCCGGCTCCCCGGACCTGAGTCAGAGCTTGAGGGCTTTAGGGCAAGTTCGCCTTTTGAGCATAATGAATGTCTTAGGATTACAATGGTCAGTAACCTACTATGAAACATGTCAAGAGCCTAGGGTGACTCAGACTCTTACTTCGAGGCACTGGGTCCTACGTAACTGATTTGGGAAAGTATCCCTATAGTACCTAGGACCCTTTGGGTCAGAGCGCTTGGTTAGCGTTATGTCTTCAGGTTTGGCGTGGCGGGGCCGCGATGCATTGGGGTGTGGGGTGTGGGGTGGCGTTTGGTGTCGTGTGGTGTGGTGGGGTGTGCTGTGGTGAAGGTGTTGTGGTGGTGGTGGTGGTGGTGGTGGTGGTGGTGGCGGTGAAGGTGTGGTGGTGGTGTGTTGCTGGTGTGGTGTGCTCTGGCGCAGTGTGTGCTGTCGGCAATGTTACACCACACACAAGAAAGAATTGTGCAGGGACCATGCATGAGAAAATACTGCTGTACGTAGTATTCCAGCGTGATTGGTTGAAGCCTAGACTCATGATTTCGAACCTCCATGGACGATTAGACAGATCGCCCCTACAGCTCATGGATGAAAGCTGCAGAGGCTGAGACTATGGGCAACACACGCCTCACGTAGGGTTGAGAGTTTTAGGGGACACCGTGCGCGTAGGGTTTCGCAAGCTTCTGCACACGTACTCCAGTCAATCTCATTCTAGAAGCTGGAACGCTCTGCACCACCCCAACACAATGAAGGGTTTGCTTGAAAACTTGTACGGGCTACCATAAGGGTTACAATATACATGTACATATGTATATAAATAAACAAACAAATACATAGATAAATAAATAAATAACTGTATATATATATATATGTATGGGTTCCTTACAGTTACGAAACTATAAAAGTCTACCAGCTCACGTTGTCACAAGAGGCCAAGCAAGCATACTCTACTCCATGCTCAGCTCGACCGGTGAACGCGCACCAGGCACGACACCGAAAGCAACGTCAGAAGATCCGAAACCGCAAGCCTTCAACCCGGAACCCCCACGTCCGAAAGCCTCAGAAAGCGTTGAACCCCACGTGCCCGAGCCCAAACTCCGAAATGAACCGAAAACAACCCACCTGTCTTGTTAGGGCTACTTGTTAGTGCCCTAAACCCTGGGCAGAAACAAGAGTCGACGGTTCAACGGTTCAGGGTTTAGGGTCCGGGCAGACGGGGGAAAACTAGAGGCAAAACCCAAAGCTCCACTCCCCGAGCCTAGCCCGAAACCCCTAAACCCTAAACCCTAAACCCTAAACCCTAAACCCCGAACCCAACCCCAAAAACCCTGAAGCCGATCCCCAATGTGAGTGCATGGCCAGGGGGCCGTATGTAGAAGCCTAAGAACTGCAAGGGCGCCCAAAGCTGGGATACGAGACCTGGGGTTTGAAACCCTAAACCCTAAACCCTAAACCCTAAAGTTTGGGCTTTATGTGGGGGCTTTAGTATTTGGGTCCAGGGTTTACGCTCCCAGAACTCGGCCTAGCCGGGTTTAGGCCTCAGGTTAAGGTGCTTCAAGAGCCTCGGAAGATAAGGATTTCGGGTTTGAGGGTACTTGGTAAGTTTAGGCTCTAGGCCACTTGGAAGCGTGCTGAGCGGCTGTACCTTTCAGGCCGAGATAAGCCCGACAAGTCTTAAGCATGGCACGTAGACGACAACAACCCTCTCAACAACCTAACCCTGACCGAAAAGCGAAGGATAAATCCCGAGCCGAATCGACTGACACATGGCGTGAGAGGTGCAGACTTAAGGACTCTCTGCAGCAGCATTTGCATCCGGGACAACAGCCCAAGGGATGGGATGCAGCTCCCCATACTAGAAGGCCAGTATGTATGTTGGTGCATGCGTAAAGTAAGTATGAACACACACACACACATACACACACAAAGCGGGGGACACTGTGTATATACACATAGGTATATAGATGTATATACGCGCATATACATACACACCTGTGTGTATGATAGCCCCCATGGATATACTCTTTCTGTGGCAGGGGAAAGCTTTACAATTTATATTGCAATAAACAACTCATCATACATATATATATATATACACATGTATATATGATGTGTATATATACATATAAACAGAAGTACACCTTTCATGCCAGCCCCCCCCATGTTCCCACCTCCTTGCGGAGGCTTCATATACAGGCTTTATACAGGCACAGCTTTCATGGAGGGGCCGATACACCTGCTGGCAACCGTCTGCAGCGAGCGAACATACATGCTCTGAAGTCGTCGGGTGCATCCCTTCCCTCGAATAGCACCAGCACAACTACCCTCCACCCCGAAACTCTGGACGATACAGCCCGAAGCCCCAAAAGCCTAAAAATCTTGTTGAGACGGGACGAAAAGAAGGGGCGCCGACCCTGGGCATGGGTTCTGCACCCGAAGTTAAACGCCCGAAGCCACAAGCCAAAGTTCACTGCAGACGAGGCGCCCTGAACCATAGGAAGATCGCCAACTGAGGCTGTGCCGCTGCAGACCTAAAAACGCCCCGCTCTCCGGGTTTGGGGTGTCAGAACATAGAGATCCTAAACCCTTCCCTAGCCTGGTTCTCTATACCTGGACTTATAGACATGAGGACACTATCATATATCAAAAACCAGAGATATTATACTATACTTGCGTACTTTAAAGGCTTTTTGAGAGTGAGGAGAACGCCCAGCTACGCAGTAAGCAATCCCTAAAGCCTTACCGACTCCTTCTATGAACTGTTACAGGCACCCTTATTCAGGGGCCTGAATAATAAGAATAGGCTTTTGGGGTATGTTGTGCTGCATGTATAATAAGGAACCCTACGAATTCAGGCTTCTATAGTAGCTCACACAGTCGGGACTCCGGCAACAGCCGCAAGCCGCATCACCAGAATCCCCAATAGACAAGGCCAGCCAGGGGTCTGGGGCGATATGGGGGCTTTCCGAAAATATGGGACCTTAATCTAGTACCTAGGATCCTTAAAAAAAGGACCCCAAAAAAGGTACCCGTATTTTCAGAAACTCCCATATGCTCCCCAAACGCACACAGGTAGAGCTGCGAGGGTGCAAGGAAGCGCCGGAGTCTTCAGGCGACTTTGGCTTAATCTCTCTCTCTCTCTCTCTCCCTGTATGTATATATATATATATATATATATATATGTGTGTGTGTGTGTGCGAACATGTGTATATATACATATATATGTAAATGTACATGTGTATATCTATATATGTATGTATGTATGTATGTATGTATGTATGTATGTATGTACACATTTCTGATTATCTGTGTAGACATGTGTATATCTCTATATGTTTATATGTCTACTGCAAAAGTCTCACCTGAAATCGGCTTCAGGATGCATCGAAGCTCGGAAAGCGACTAGCTGGAGGAGAGGTTCCGAAGTCGAGATGCCCCACTGATAAGCCGGTGGAGGGTCCGGTTTGGGAGTTTAGGGTTTAGGATTTAAGGGTTTAGGGTTTCAGAGTTGACTTTAAGAGTTTAGGGCGTAAAGGCTTAAGAGTTTAGGGTGGCCTGTTCTGTTGGACTTCCTTCTGCCAACTGACCATGACATGATACCTCAAGCAATGCTCTTTGTGACTATGGGTGAGCAGCGGTGACCTGTCCTGGCAGCAAATGCCACGGGGCCATTCCAGTTTATCTAAATTTCGTAAGAGGCTTTGGACATGTTAGCCATGTGCTGCGTCCGAGCCTGCTTGCTCCCAGCAATCGCACACCCAGACATCGCTGAGGCAAAGGCGCGGCGTGCCACCAGCATCAGCGCCACACCAAGACCGCAAGCAGTGATGGCCTGCAAGCATAAATCGAGAGTCAAGATTCGGTACTGTAGGGAAAAGGGTGGACCATCCCCTAATAAACCCTGCAAGCCCTACATTGAACCCTAAGCCCCAAAACCCCAGACCCTAAACCGTATAGGTCCTATCATGTAGGGTGGCCTGCTGTCCTGTTGCTAGGACAGTGGCCGCCACGTCAGACGACTGCTGGCCTGCAGAAGGAAGCAAGGGAACAGGGTGGCACACTTTCGGGTTTAGGGATTTTCCTTCTCGCATGGCTGAGATCTATGCTCACAGTCGAGGCTTCTTTGGCGAACATGACGTGCCACGAACATCATTTTAGTCAGCATGCTCGTAAGGGTTTATAGGGCTTAGGTTTGTTATGTGGTGGTTTCTGCGATTAATTGAATATGTGTGTTGGGCCTTCCGTTTTATGATAAAGCTCGAGTGGTAAATCCTTACCGTAACTCCAAACCTTTAATCTATTGTACTACAAATATGTTTGTAAACATGTTGGTCTGCTCTTAGAAGATCTTCCTACCGATTCCAAATTCCAACATGTCATGGTGTTGCGACTTGCAACGGTTTGGGGTCGAGGGCTTCTGCTGATTAGCAGGATTCGGTTCACAACATCTAATATAGGGGCCTTAGTAACTACAATGGGGGAATATCACGTCGTAGTATAGGTTGGGAAGAGATGGCAGGAGGGAACGTTTCTGTTGGGCCGAAGTGAACGCCAGGCCATCCACTCACCTCACCTCACCTCGCTCATTATATTAGTTACAATCAGGAACCCCGAGAAATGATATTGGAAGTTTTCAGGTTTCGATACTCTGCCTGGGGTCATTAGCTAAACCCTGTTTTGAGCAGTGACTGCAATGCACGAAGCCCTGAATCCCGTCAAGAGGTAAACCCTAAAGCCTAAATCACAAACGGTCCGACGTGAGGCTAAGTTTCGGTGCGGCTACTCTGTGGCTGCGGGATCGCATGCTCGCAGGGTTTACCGGGTCCTACATCTCGTACGTTAGTGAACCTTATCTCTAAACCTAAAACTGAAACAGAAAAATAATCTAAACTCCGAAGAACAAAACCAAAAGCGCGCAACGTCCAAAACTCACAAAACAACTTAAACTCCAAAGCCAGAGCCATCAACCCAAACAACAAGAACCAAAACTGCAAACCCGGAGCCTATAAACAAATATATACACATACCTTAAGAACCCCAAACCTACTTTTTTGATAAATCCCATATTAGGGTTTATAATAAGAACCTACAAAAAAGTGAGTTTTGGGTTCTTAAGGTATTTACATACAATTACATATGTATGTCATTATATACACACACATATACCTATAGTTATGTTGCTGGTAGATCCTTTACAGGAGGTTCAAGAAATACCGTGAGTCGGATCCTCGCTGCAGCGCACCCCAGAACCGCCCGAAGCGGCGAAGAACGCGCTTCTGGGCGGCGAGGAGCCGCACTTGCTCGCCTTAGCCGCGGAGACCTATCTTTTCAGGGCTATTGGGCTGTGCAGGTTTCGACGAACAGTTGGAAGAGGCTTTCTTCTGGTAGGTTCATCCCTTAGCTCCCTTTCCCTCTCCACAAATTGAACCTTCTGATGCTTGGCATCTGGCTATCTTGAACTTCTTTTCCCTCCCGCCTGGCTAGGACTTGAACTTCTTGAGGAGCCAGTTACAGCTTGAATGCCCAAAGGCATCTCAAAGGTCCTGCCTTACATGTAGTACGCAACCTGAGGTCTACAGAGAAACTCAACGCCAGCGTTCCATGGTCGCATGAATTGCGCTGCTCTGTTTCAACATGCTCAGCCGTCAAAGCTCGGAGGAACGAAACTTTCAGAATGACTTCAACTTGGTCTTCTGTGTAGTGACCTCCCAGGCTTATCTTTGCAATACCCTTTACTTTATTGGCTAACCTTACAATTGCTGCATCTGTTCGGCGTGGTTCCATAATGAGACAATAGTGTAGTCAACAAAGGAGCTACATCTGCATGTAATGATGTATGGGTTGCCTTTTGACTTGGGTTCGACTCTGCGCGACTCCAAACCCTAAACCTTAAATGCCGTGTGACAATTCAGCAAGGCATCATTGGCCTGCGTTGCCTCAGATTCTGGAAGCATCGGGAACAGGAACAAACCCTGACCCCCCCCCCCCCCCCCNNCCCCCCCCCCCCCCCCCCCCCGACCTAATTAACCTCCAAACCCCTTGATTAAGGAATGCACCCTAAACCATATAGCTATGATTACCGGTGTTTTAGTTCAGGAAAACCTGGAGTTTCCGAGTCCCATGGAGCCTAAACACTGAATGGTTCCTTGCCCCTTTCGGCAACTGTGTACTGGAGGCGACACAGCAGAAGCACATCGCAACTGGTGAAAAGAGGCATGCCCCATGGGGAAGGATAATAAGTGTCTGCATCAGGCTTTGCGATGTCGTGTCTATTCCGACAATCTTGGGTTATCCCCTGAACCCTTTTTTTTTGCACAAGAGACTTGACAACTACCCTTACTGCACAGCTCGACCCACTAAAACCAGACCCTTATATCCTGCAGTTAACAGTTTTTGGGCTAGCACCTACAACGCTGGGCTCCCATCCCAATGAGGGAAAACTCTCTTGAGTCCTTCAAGCCGACGCCCAAACTCAACAGAAGTTGTCCGTTTCTGAGACAATGCTTGTTGCAGGAACTCAGAGGCGTAACGAAATCTGCTACTCCATTCAAGTCCATGTCTCCTGTGCGTCGTCGAAACGATTTTCAGTTCGTCGGGCTCGGCCAACCCACCCCGCAGACAGCCAGGTGGTGAAGAGGAAGTACAAGCAGACCTCAAAAGTATCTAAAACCCTCGACCCAAACCATCATCTGTTGGGATATGTAGGGTTTAGGGCAGCAAGGGAGTGGGGATGGGAACTCTGCGGCCGAGGCTTCTTCGCGTGATGATGATGCTGTTTGATGTTAATCAAAGGTGACGATCATGATCACCATTTGACTGTGCCCATGCTGATGACGCTCATGTGACTCGTTCTGGCCGCATTGGCGTGTCTATGGGTGACGATGATGCTCATGATGCTTCGGGCGGCAATGAGGATAAAGACCACATACTGTTTCTGAAGTATTGATCTGTATCTCTGCGTTGTAGCCATAACGCGTGCAGGTGGCGAGTGGAATCAACGATATATCACACTTGTGGCAGCCATGATGCAGCAGCCGGAAAAAACACAAGCAGCAGCATCAGCAGCAACAGTAGGAAGCAGGAGCGTGAGCAGCAACAGCAGCAGTAGTAGCAGTCGTAGTGGTGGTCGTGGCGGTGGTGGTGGTGGTGGTGGTGGTGGCGGTAATGAAAGTAGTAGTAGTAGTAGTAGTAGTAGTAGCAGTAGTAGTAGTAGTAGTAGTAGTAGTAGTAGTAGTAGAAGTAGAGCAGTAG